TACAATATGTAGCATAATGATGCCTTTATAAGGTCATTTGTTTTAAGAGGAATAACCAAACCTTTTTTACATCCGCCAACCCACGATTTGAGTGCAATTGCATTTCAGACGCGTCGTAAGATCCGTCAAGATTTCGTCCATTTAAAAAGGTATTCCATCGAACGACTCATTTAAGGTGGATTCGCTCGGGGACCAATAGTACTTAAAGGCCTTCATGAGGATTATATTTTAGCATATGAGAAAAAGTTATTCCATCATGTAGGTCATGGAGCATACATTTCTCACCTCAATTCTGACAAGTTACAAAGCGTGCTTCGTAATTTTATTCTGAGACAGCCTACATTCATTCTATCTCACGATACCGAGCTTAAGTGCAACATTCTACTCTACAATCCTTTGAAGACTTTGAATGGATTACGGCAAGGTTACTTGATGCCGGTTTAAAGCCTTGACTAAAAATTTTTTTGTGAGCAAATAAGAGCCATCTACGGCATTACCCACCTTTTCATGAAGTAACTACTCCTCACCACCAGGCTTCTAGCATTTCCTCTTGGAAGCCGCATTTTTCCAAGGCCGCAGCCTGTTTACGATCTTTGTGCGGAAGGCTAGCACGTGTCCAAGCCCACGTCCCACTCTTCCTCTCCTTTCCACCTCGCATCACCCCACCCCATCCCACCCCTCTCATCCCTCCCAATCTGCTGTCCGCCTTGGTTCTAATCCGAGGACAATAGAGGCCCAGCAACGCCATGGTAACGAGTTGTAACTATCTCCTTGTGGCATCAATATCATCGACATTTGGCGGTTTCCGGAGCTGCTATGTGGAGTCGTAATGACTTTTTGCCTCTAAACGAAATGGAGACAGGGAGAGTAGGGGCAGAGAAGATAATGAGAACCTTGAGGTGATGGAGTGCATGAGTTGGACTAACAAATAGGTCATTCGGAGTAGCATTTGTAATTTAGTCAGCGTTCGTCGGCTGGCGACATTTAAGATGCAATGTTCTTTAGTTTGACTGGATGCGAACATGCAGTACGCATTTTGCGAAATAGGTTATAAAGTATGAGAAGAAATACTTTTCGAAGTCCTTCTAGAGTTGTCCGACAGCGGAATACTGCCCTTGCATTTATTTGCACGAGCTATTAAATAAGGTCAATGAAATGCCATTATTTAAAATCATTCAAGCAAACACACCCTCCTAGAAGCGGGTGGCTTGAAGAAGTAAAAATCACATTAACTTTGAGACAAAATCTAATTTTTCTGCGTAATGCCTTAAACGTGGCATCTCATCGTACAACTACTGATTGCTCGGCAGCCATCATCCGAATCTCCTCATTTTAATGGCAAGCCTGAGAGGTTGACACGAGGCTAGCTTTGATCATTTTAATTGTCCTTCATCACTATCAAACTGTCTCGGGCAAAAAAACTCATCTGGTGGCGTCTTACCACTGTCTGCGAAAAATGCTTGGTGTCGTGTCGCTGCTATATGCAGGCATCCTAACTAACGCGTGCCATGACCTTTGGTAGTTTTACCACTTTTAGTAAGAAGGCCTGTGTATCGCAGCCAATTTGGGATGTTAATTGCTAAAGAATTTGCATCTCTAACATAAATAGTACAGGCACAAATAGTTAACACGTTTACGTGTTTGTCATGGTAAAATTTACGCAGGCTAAAACAACAGCAACTTTTACCCACTATTCTTCTGCTGTCCGTCATTATTTGTAGGAGGTCTAACCTTTCAAATAAAGCCAAGCAATTACGAGCTACAGTTAAAGGTTGACTCGTTATGCCTGAAGGTCTTGGAAGGCCAAATATTTTTTAAACAAAAATATGCAGTTCTTAAAATAATTCTCAGGGGTCAGTTAGGAGAAACTTTAAGTTTTAACCTCATAAGCGTCTATAAATATCAGATAAATTTGGTTTAAAACACTATTTTTGAATTTCCTGCTTTTACAACCCTCGATTTCATCTCGTTTTTGAATGTGCATGCTAAATTCAAGGCTGCCTCATTTGGCTAATAGGGACCTGTAAATTGACTAAAATGTGAGCACATGGAATGAGGTGAGGCCTAGCAACGACGAGTCGTCCGAACTGCCTGTTGATGGTTCGAAAGAAGGAAGGGATGTAGTCTTTCCGTAGTGAAGCAAACTTTGGTCGTTAGCAATTGTTGCTCAGAAGGACTTAGGAAAGACAAGGGTTTCATTGTAAGAATTTGGTCAAATTTATTGCGTTGGAAAGAAGGCATCCGACCTAGAACGCACAGTAAATCGAAAATACTACGAGGTGATATTAACTGTAGGTTAAGGAGTTTCAACAAACCTAGAATGTTTTACCTTTTAAATTTATGCTTCGGATCAAATTATGCTTAAAATGTTTGTCAAAATGTTCGTGGTTAGTCCAACCAAAAATAACATAGTAGTAAAAAAGAATGTAACCTGGAGAATAGTTTGGGCTTGGGTGTAAACATAAATTTAGGTTTTGCATTGTACATCATGACCGAGACGAAGGAGTGTGAAGAATGAATAAAATAATTTTCTTTCACCATGACCACAAATGGACAATCTGCATTTGTAAATACGAGTTGAGAAAAGATAATCTAATGCCTCACATTCTATTATTGCGTTGTAAGGCGACGTGCAAGAGTCCACTGTGCTTTTCTAACGTCTTAATCAGGACTGAAGAGATGTACTTATTAACTTCAAATGCTTTCGAAAACTCCATGTAAATCGCTGCAAAAGTGCATAAAAGTGTATCACCTTCAGCATTTGGGAGAAAATGAGGGTAGCTGTGACTTAGACCCGCACATTTCTTTCAAATGATTATAAATCAAAACAAGGAATAAACTGGAGTCGCACTTCCCGACTCATCAGCATATTTCGAACTTTTGTTAAAAATGTATTCCAGATTCCCCACTCCTCTGCTAATTTGTGCGATTCGTATCAATACAAGGTGGCTTGCTTATAACAACATAGTTTCAAGGGAATGTTTCTGCTCAGATCTTCAAGATATTAATGCAGAGAGTGGCTTCAACTAAAAGGAACAAAAATGTACAACCCTTTTTACACGCAAAGTAAAGGATAGTCGTTTCGGTTTGACCACCAAAACAAAGCCCTCTTGTGCGTGCCGATATCAGAAGTAATAAAGGGAATTCTTAGCAGCTATGAGCCAAACAACGTTGACTTCGCTCCTTAGAAACTCGAGTAAGCTTAAAGGAATTTAGTTGAAATTTCTGGAGACGCATTGGGCTGAGACTGTGTTATTTTGTTTCAAATGGATATTTGGTTGGATGAAACAGATGCGCATCTTAAACAGTTCATAAGATTTATCATTGTCCAGGCATCCTAAAAATGGCAACCATAAAAGAAGACATAATTCCACGTTTAGGAAGCGCTTCAAAGTGATACCACCTTAACTTCACTAACGAACTTCATCAAAATAATGCATAATAATAACAAAAGAAAAGTTGTTATGAACATAATTGCGATTTTATTAAGCTGAATTCATCAATTAAAACCTTTAGCCTTAACAACATAAAAGGAAGACACATTCCAATGCCTAGTTTTTAATTTGTGTTTATCTTTTGATAGCATATTCCCACATTGGTAGGTTCAGCTTATTTGACGGTTTATTCAAGGTGTTCTCTTTTAGATCCCGACGTGACCTAAACCTGACCTCCAAGAATGACGAAATTGACCAAGCCACCATTAAA